GGAGTCAGGGGAAACTGGGATCCAGCCCCGGCCCACCCACCGTTCTCTGGCAGATCTCTGAAAATCCTCCCATTGAAGAAAACATGGGTGCCAAAGCTCTTTTTCATAGCTGCTGCACATCAACCCCAAGAATTCGCTGCTATTCCAAGGCCAGTGCTACTTCTCCAGGGATCACAGCAGGACCTACTAGGCTCTGAGCAGGCAACTCTAGACCCCTCTGAAAGCACGTCTGGCAGAAGACACCTGCCTTCCTGTGCCCACCTCAGACCACGCTGGAAAGTGCACGGTGCCCTGGGGCTGGGACAGCTTTCAAATGCAAATGCTCTTTCCTGAGCCCTTTATCATCTCATTAGTGCCTAGTTCAGCCGATACTGATACTGAAAGCTGAGAAGCTGAATTATTGCAGAAATAAATCGACAGACACTATCAGCAAAGTGAACACGAGCGCACTTCTATTATTCCATTAGCATGAAAGAGGCATCCTCTGCTAAGAATGTATGATAGACTTCTGAGACACTAGAAGCCACAACTTCCTGATGAACAATCCGAAACTAATACACAAAAACATGAGCCTACCACTTAGTCAGAACTCTGTGCTCATCTATCACATTATAATCACACCATGGAAATCAGTCATGTTCCTCCCTCTTATGAAAGCATTCCAAGAAACTTGTCAGGGAAAAGTAGTAATCATCCATCTGCCTTCTGCATGACATGGCGGGGAAAAGACCAGAATTTTGCTGCTAACTACTTTTGAACTTTGCTACTCTTCCATAAGAACAAGGTCTCTGCCCCACACAGCCACATAGAGTGGCACTCATCACTGCCCTGTGTTCCAGACAACTGGTCTGGAGCTAGCAAGCGCATTGCGAACCCCAGCTCCGCCATGCATGCGCTGTGTGACTTGGCTGAGCTATTTAATCCATCAGAGCCTCTGGTTCATCATCTATAAGCTGTGTGGTAAAAATTGCATTGTCTGCTTCACATGCTTTTTGTGTAGATTAAATGGGTCAGTATTTCTAGTATGTGTATAATAGTATCGGGCACATAATAAACACCCAATAAATGTAAGTCAATCAAAATTGTTAGATCATAGTTGGTTTGGGAAGAAGATATCCATTCAGTCAAAGTAGTCCCCAAAGCTCTGTGTACATCACTCTGTAAAGAGGAAGCTAACATTTGTCTATTTAAAAAACATTATGAGAACAATAAAGAACACATAGACCTTAATTCTTGAAGTCTCTTGACAAGTATTCAGCAAAATCCCATCAATAAAAATCTGACAGCTACACCAATTAACAACACTGAAGATTATAGTTAATTTTTTCATATATACTAACGTGAAGTAGTAAAGTTCTCAAGTTGCGAAACTTCACTTTTACCCCTTGTTCACTAGAGTCAGCTCAGGATCCCAGACTGCCAGAGCATTTTTTTGCAAATTTTGGATTGTAAACACTGTTTTCTCTGTCACACACACAAAAATGCTTAAGGTCAGGACACACAAAAGATATGTTTTCAATACTACTGCAATTTACATTAGCGCCTTTATTGACTCTTTCTCCCTGAACTAATCCACAAAGCTCCCACCACATGGCCCCCTGGCTGACTGGAACCCAAACTTGCTGCTGCCTCCCAGCACACTGGTAGTGTAGGAAAAGATCAAAATTCAAAGTATAGTTCCTGCTGACCATATATCCCCTTTACACCATCACAGTGTTCAAAACTTGAAAGTCAAACCATTGTGTGTTGAGGACAGTCTGCATATCAACAGACACATAATGTACAAGTAGGACTAGATTTATAATCGGCTCATGTGACGATTAGGGAGACAGCCACACCCCGGAGACCCTGAAAGGCTCCAGCTGTAATTTCCGGTCTGATTTGACAGCTGTGCACGTGAGCAGTGCCGATGTTAGTCCAAGTACAAAGGCAAAAGTTGGAGGCCACAGCCCAAGCACTCAGGCAGAGAAGGCCAACTCCATCCCCAGCCACCTTTGTTCCATCCAGGTCAGAAAGAACGGGACAAAACCCACCCTCACTGGCGGAAACCACCTTAGGATTGCAGGCTTCAAAGGCTCACCTCAGCTAAACAGACCACAGACTCACCCAGGAGCAGTGTTTAGTCCTCCATCTCAGCACCCACACCCAGTCAAGTGGGCTCGTAAGATTCAGCATCAGAGAAGGCGACCACAAAGGAGGCAACAATGACACAAAGCCCAACGAGCACGTGGCTGCCCCTTGTGGGGTGTGAGTGAGGGTCCCCGCATGCGGATCCACGCCAGGCTCTTCGCATTGGGGGGACAAAGGGCCCAGTGAGTCCTCAAGGTGCACACAGGCCAACTCCATCCTGGTGCAGTGAGTCCTGACCCCTTTCTAAAGTGACGTTGTAGGAAGGCAGGCAAGGACAGGCAGCCGAAGACAGCAGTTCACCCATAGCTGACTGATCTGCTCCCCTCTGGAGCTGATGGCCTCATGGGGTGCGGATCTCTCCGAATCCTGGGGTGTTTTCAGGCTTCTCCATCTGTGTAGCCTTGAAGAACACACAGATATATGGAGAGTCCAGACAGCTGTAAAGTTAATTCAACTTTGGCCTCATGAAGAATGAAATCCCCGCGATCAGCAATATGTCACACGCGGTTGGGGTTTTCAAGTTAAGGTGACTTTGCAGCATTTCTAAAAAATATTCTTCCTTGTACCAAGACTGTCTGTGAGCTTCAGTTTCTTCATAAGTCACCAGTTTTACTTTTACTCGGCATGAAGAAATTAATTCCCATTAACTTTTTCATATTGGAGGAGGAAACTTCAAGGTTTCTCCATCTAACTTGAAATTCTTAAGATTGGGACATTTAAATTCACCCTCTGTACAGGGGCAGCTGAAATGTGAGGAGACTTGGACCTTCATAATGTTATTATTTTTTTTTCTAAAATGACTGAGTAAATGGAGCTTAAAGGGCTTTTTTAAAAAACAAGGATGAATGTTTCTGAAGCCCAAGTTCTTTTCTTTCAGAACTAACTTCTGAGGGTTCTGCTACAAAAGGAAAAGCCCAAAGAATATGTATAAAAGCTAGGAAGAAACACAAAATATTGCAGTTCAAACAGATCCTTGGAAAGAATTTAAAAGAGCCATGAACTGGATGCTAATGAGTTTAGAGGCATAAACCAGGTCAGGTACAATGAAAAACATGAGGAATCCTCCCACTGCAGGAAGAAAATGTGTTAGTACTTAAATTAACATCAATGGAGACGTGGACACCCTTTCATTTGTATGGTTATTTATTTTATTTTAATGTATACTAAAAAAAGGAGCATAAGACTTATTATAAGCCAGGTATTATGACTCTGGAATTAAGCTAAAGTTTATTATTATTAAGTCTTCAAAAGACTAAACTTAGAAATACCATTTGACTCAGCTGTTCCATTCTCAGGCATATTCCTGAAAAATTAAAGGCAGCATATTACAGTGACACATGCATAATCATGTTTGTAGCAGCACAATCCATAATAGCTAACTGTAAAAGCAGCCTAGAAGCCCATCAACAGATGAGTGGATAAAGGAAATGTAGAAAATATACAACATGAAATGTTACTCAGTTATAAAAAGAATAAAATCATGTTATTTGCAGGAAAATGGTTGGAACCACCATGATGAGTGAAATTAGCCAGACTTGGAAAATTAAGTATTTTGTGATTTCTCTTTTATGAGAAATCAAACAAATAAACAGAATAAGAAATGTAGCAAGGATGGGAAACTAGGTGGTAGACTCCTTGGAGATGAGGAAGGGAACAGGCGAGAGAGGAGAAAAGGAGAGGGGATTATAGGATTGAGAACAATTAAGATATTAAATATTTGCATAAACTTAGCAAAATAAATTCCTTTGTCATGTAATATCATCAGCATGTACTCATAAAACTTTTTATAAAATAAAAGAAAATAAAAGTCACTCATGGAAATGGCAAACGCATGGCGTGTGAATGCATTCAGGAAGGGCTGCAGACAGTCACTTCCTCTCCAGGTGCAGGGCCAGGGTCCTCCCCTCCAGGGGGGAAGTGGAGTCACCAACCACAGCCACTGCTCAGCAGAGTCTTTGCATCAGCTGCCTTCTCCTCATGCACTTGCCCTGGCCCAGGTCTTCAGAGGACTGGGGCTCAGGCAGAGTAGACTCAGGAAGGGAAGAACACAATGTATGAGGGTGGAGGGAGGTGTGTCCACAATGCCCGGACCACAGAGTCTGACTTTGGGAGCAAAGCTACCACCCCAGCAGCCACTTCATTAAGAGGAACCGAGGCAAACTCTCCATGAGGGGCACGGACTGTGTTCATAGATCCTGCTCTCCAGGAGGAGCAGAAGCAGATGCTTGGTGCCAGCATGGAGATTCCATGGAGGGAGGGCGAGTCACTGATGCAGTCACCATACAGTACCAACCTCCATCCCGACCATGGAATGTGACACACCCCTGGGTGCACTACACCCTGCAGTAAGATGACCATGCAGGTGGCAGGATGTCCCAACAGAGTCACCAGAAGCAGCGCCGTGTGTCATGAGCTGCAGACTGCCTGCTTGGCTCACCAAGTCCTCACAGAGGTGTCTCACACACACCACCCATGAGGCTGTGCTGTGCCCAACACTTTTCAAAGGGGCTGCAGAACATCTGCTTTGGAAATGACCGTCTGCTTGTGTAAGCTTTTTAATAGAATGAATGTAGTGTTGTTATTAGCTCAGATTAAAAAGCACAGCAACAAACATACACACACACACACACACACACACACACACACATACACACAAACAAAAACAAAACAAAGGAGGGCCAGTCACAGAATATAAACATCTCTGCAGGAGAATTCCCCAATAGCAATTTAAAATCCCCCTCGCCCTATCAGACACAGTCTTTATCCAAAACTTCCAAAGCAGGGGATTTTAGAAAGTTAAGAAATAGGCAGGCATGGCGGCACACACTTGTAATCTCAAGCATTCAGGAGGCTGAAGCGGGAGGACAGTTGTGAGTTCAAGCCCAGCCTGAACTAGAGAGTGAGCGCCTCCCTCAAAAAAAAGTTAACAAAATCAGTTTATCCTTTTCCTCTGAGTTCTCCAGAAATTATTATTCTCCTCACATTAAATTTTTCTCTGCAAATCATTTCCACAATTTGTAATGACACACATAGTATTGTTTTATCATGTTATACACTGGCCTGCGAGATTCCCGCAGGTAGACATCACATATTTCCCAACCCCCAGAATCCTCAGATCCTGACGTTTGACAAGGACTTGGATTAGAGATTAAGAACAGGAGCTCTGGAACTCAATGGTCCGAGCTGGGATCCAGGCTCACAGCATGAGTTGTCTTTAACTGCAGTAGAGAAAATTGGATAGAGTCAGTTAGAGCAGTAAATTAAAACAAGTTCCTTTTGCCACATAGAAGGGAGGAGGAATGTTGGGTTGAGTGGCCAGTGAGGTCAAGACGGCGTTTTTGTATCTGGTTGGTAACTGGTTTAGGGAACAAGATGCCGCCCAGTACCCAGGGAACTGTTCACAGCTAACATCAGAAGGATGGGGTGCCAGGCAGGGTGTATCATCCCCACTGCTCTAGGCCCTTTAGAGTGGGAAACTGGAAGACTCCCCAAAGTGAGCTCAGCACACTTCATACTGTTTCTCTTGAGCCATATGTGGTTCCCATGACCACTTCCCACCACAAGGGAGTATGAGAAAGTGAACGTCCATAGCAAGCAGCAAAGGCAGAGAGGTCAATTGACATACTCTGGCATGAGCCACTTATTACATGTGTGACCCTGGACAATGTCAAGTAAGGACCTTATGTCCTTGGGTCTCAGTTTTCCTTTCATGTCAGTGAGGGTAAGGATAGCACTTCCCATAAAACCCTGTTGAGGATATTAAAGGAGTTACTTCATGTAAAGTGTGTCTAGCTTTGTTAGTACACAGTAAATTCACAATATTTTCAGCTATTGTCATTAATATATAGCTCAAGAAATTGAGGAATGACTGAGCGAGTTCAAATAGGAAAGAGCGAAGGACAGAGAAGCTAGAAGTGGATGCCTGGGCTGTGTATAACCATGCATGCAGCACTCAGTAATCTTCTTTCATGAGGTTCTACAAAACAGAGGGACATTTTGATAGAAGGCATCAACACTATAAATATTCTGATTACCTAGGATACATAAAATGCTATGTTCCCAGAAAAGATATTTTATACATGATTACTAATTGGATATTCTTAAGACATTGTGGATTTACTTTATTGGCTGCTGGATATTTTTGGATTTTTATGACTATCATTCACGACTTTAAAGATGATTTGATTTTAAACTTGCACTCAATTGCTCCTTGTCAGCAGTAAATAGCGATTTTGGAATGAGTATTTGAACACAATGACGATTAGTCTAGGAAGAGAGAGTACTGGCATTTGTACACATATAAAAATCTCACTCATTCATTCACTCACCAAATGTTCTCAGAATGCACACTCTTTCAGGCTCCCTTCTGGACATGCAGGGAGGAAATCCAAAGGAAAACAAGGCAGGTCTATACCCACCAATATTCCAGCCCCCTCCGGGAAATAATATGTGAGCATCTGAATGTTATGGTGGAATCAAGGTGCCCGGGAAGTTGGGATGAGGAAAAAGTAACAAAACTATTGGACAAAGATAAGAACAGCCTAGAAACATCTTGTGCACACTTAGCTGAGGATGCCCTAATGATCTCGGGACAAATGGGCTAAGTCAGTGCCTACAGGCAGTGAGGGCTGTGCCCACCCAGAGACAGTTTTCTCTGCATCTTTCAGTAGCAACACTGTGGTTTTCCTCCACGTGCTGTCCTCCTGGTAGTCATGCCTGCATCCTGGTAGGGCTCGTGCCATTGACAAAGTTTCCAATTGGCCACGGGATGCATGCTTGCTGAGACACACCTTAGGATATTCTATTCCCTGGACCAGAGTGACTGGTTCAGGTATGACTGTGATCTAATACAAATTAAATATTTGATATAGGACTATATTAAATGGTGGAAATTTGGCTGGAATTATTTTGGAGAAAATTCATTTAAATTATTTTCCCACTTGGCTTTCTAAAGTCTAAGGGTTCGGGTGGGGTGGTGCTAGAAGCCTTTACAGGTAGAAACCTTCCTGAGTCAGTTCCAAGTGAAGATCAGGGCTATGAAATGGAGAATGCCACATCCTAGCGAACATCTGAGATATTGGATCTCGGGTCTACAATGGCTACAACTGCTGCCAGCTGTATGGGACGATTTCTTTAAAGTGGTGTGAAATGAATTTTCCATCTTTTGCGACTAAAAGTATCTTGACTAATAAACTCCCTGCAAAACCATTGCTCTAGGCATTAGGGAACAGAAAAATACAAATGTTAGGTTTTTTTCCCCAGTAGACATTTTCAACCAACAGAGAAACTACATTAATTACTGCAGACTAAGTTTCCAGCTTGTGATTTATGGAGCACATGGTAAAATGCTCAGAAGATGCTTGCCTCCGTGGTGGGGAATAATTATCTCTGGACCAGACAAAAAGCTGCCCACTTTTATGTAATAAATTATAAAACAAGATCCCAAATGGCCAAACTGCTCTCAAGTAACTTAAATTTGTTCCAGAACAAGCTGTAAGAATATTTATAGGAATCCAAATATATCCAGCACTCAGCAAGGTAAATCCACATTGTCTTGCATCCAATAAAAAACTACCAGACATTTAAAAAGAAAGGGAAATTGTATGAGTGTACAGGAGAAAAACAATTACTAGAGATCAACCTTGTACAGACACAGATGTAGGAAATATCCTACAAGGCCACTATCATAATTTTATCCTCAATGTTCCAAGAATAAGTAAATACCTGGGAGAAAAAGAAAAGACTCAAGCCAAGTTTGTAGAAATGAAAACTATACTGAAATAAACAGATGGATAGCAGATTAGACAACACAGAAGAAAAGATTAGTACACCTGAAAACATGACAACAGAAACTATTCCAAATTAAACAAAAGAGGAGTCTAAAGATGTCACCAGTGGTGGAGGTGGAGGAGAGGGAGGGAGAGGAGGAGACAGAAAAGAGGGAGAGGAAGGAGGAGGAGGAGGAAGATGTCATCAGTGAGCTTTAGGACAAAGTCAAACTTCCTGGAGTGCACGTAATTTGATTTGGAGAGTGAGATGGAGAAAGATAAGGGAATGAAAAAAAGATGAAAAAGAAAACTCAATACCTACAAATGTTTTCTGTCTTCTGCTCTAGGCTTCCACAACTCAGCCAGCCCTGGCTTATTCTCACAGCAGGGCTGCAACATTGAGGCATGGTTCTATGAGTTTAAACCTCATCTCTCTTCTGTACATGAGTCTATCAGCACTTTGGAGAACCTCTGCCTAATTGCGTCTGTAACCTGCTAATAGCCTTTCTTTGCTGTCTGACAGAATCTTTTTATCCAGCCCAGGCCGAATGAAAATTTAATATAACATGAAGTTACCGCAGAGCTAGCAAGCAAATGACAGTTGTTTAATTAAAACTTAAACCTGATTATCCAGCACGACTGAGAGGAATACTCTGGGGAAGCTGCATAAAATAATTGAAATCCAAACCAGCAATAATGACTGGAATGTGAATTAGCCCTCCACGTGCCTGGTGCTGGAGACGCCACCAGCACTGAGATCACAGTCCAGAGCTGAGATGATTCTCAGGAGCAAAGAAAATCAATAACTCAATTTGACAGAGACACAAGACTTCCACAGACATATCTCAAAGAAGACATAGTAGTGACATATGGATATAAGGAAAGAGGTTCAATGTCACTAATCGTCAGGAAAATGTACATCAAAACCACCATGAATATCACCACACACCTGTTAGGAGGGGTATTATTAATAAATTTGAAAAGACAGTAAGTGTTGGTGAAGGTGTGGAGAAATTGGAACTCTTCTACATGGTTAGTGGGAATATAAAATGGTGAAAATTAAAGCGGTGAAGCCACTTTGGAAAGCAGTATGGAAAATCTTCAAAAAATTAAAAATAGAAGTACCACATTGTTTGTCACCCCACTTCTAGATCTTTACCCGAAAGAACTGAAATCAGGATATCAACCTCCCTGTGTGCATTGCTATTCACAATAGCCAAGATGATGGATTCAGGCTAGGGTCCTCCGGCGGGTGAACGGGTAAGGAAATTGCCTTTAAAGAGCAAGCCATTCTGCCATCCACTAGACCATAGATACGGTTAAGGATATGATATATGAAATAAACTACTGACAGAAGACAGATACTGCATGATTCCACTTACGTGAGCTATCCAAAGCAGTCAGAGTCATAGAAAACGGGTCAAATGCTTGTCAGCAGTAACAGAAGAGACAGGAGAAGAAGAGAGAGCCGAACCAAGGAGCGTCGGATTTCAGTTACGCCTGATTGAAAGTTCTCAAGACTTAGAGTAAAACATGGTACTTAGAGTCAACCACACTGCTCTGCACACTTGACAATTTGTTGAGAAAGGGATTTCATGTTGAGTGCTCTTACACAATAAATACAAAACAGTCCTCTACTTCATGCTGTGCTAATGAGGACTAAAGGGGAAAACCCAAAGACCACCGAGAAGGGACACAGAGATCTTTTTCTCAGCCTGTTTTCTTCCTGGCAAACTGTGCTCATCCTTCTGGACTCCCACTCCAGTACTGTCCTGTTGGAAGCCCGGGTGGACACTGTGTGCTCCACGTGGGTGAGCAGCCTCCTCAGTACGTTCCCACTTGCAAGTTCACGTGTCTGTGTCTTGCCGTCCCTTGCAGGACAGGAAGGGTCTAGCCTAGTTTTGTTTCTAAGCAGAGAGTGTGGATGAATTTCTTACCAAGCTCCACCCTCCCTGCAAACTCTCATCAGTGGACTGGGTGGTCTCGCTGAGTGTGGTGAATGTGGGGATGGAGGATGAGGATCCCGGTCCAGGAGGAAGGCAAGTCTGAGTGTTTCCCTCTCCTTTGCTCTGTGCCTGAAACCTGCCAGCCCCAAACTGGAGGCTAGAACACCTCAGCAGATGGTGGCAGGTTTAAAAACCTCCATCAAGGTGTAAACACAAAGGAAAGAAGGGCTCATCTCTTTACGGGTGAATTTAATGGAAAAACATGCTTTATTTTTTAATCCTTGAGAATTTTTGTAATTACTTTTTTCTAGGTCTTTTCTCCACATCAAATTCTGCAAGGACACGCTGTGACGTTAGGGCAGGCTCCAGGTGATCAGGCCCTCAGGAAGCCCATCAGTGCAGCTGCAAATACAAGGGAGGTGCTTTGCTGAACTATTATAATGCAAAATAATCCCCAGTACAAGGCAGCACCCACGATAGCACTGCAGGATTCAAAAATATAAAGTGCTGACTTCTAAAGTGTTTCTTTCAAATTACAAAACACTCAAATCTATTATTTTGTTCTAAGATCACATAGGGTAAACTGTTTATCATGACTCTATAAAGCAAGACAAAAAATAAGTTTCTATTATCTTACAAGAAAAACACAAAACACATTTTAAGGTCCTTCCTCACTGTGACTGAGAGACAACTTCAACTTGTCTTTTATCAAATCCTTCACTAATTAGGGGAGACAGTTTGCTTTTCCATTTTTTACAATAGTTTTCCACCATCTGTGTTCCCTTTTCAGTATATGTGTAATAGTTGCATATATTTATGGAACACAATGTGATGTTTCTAGATCTGTATACACTGTGGGATGACTAAACAAATTAACATGGTCATCATTTCACATACTTACTGTGTGTATTGAGGACATTTGAAATGTATTGACCAGTTTAAAGTATATAACACATTCTTATTAGCTATACTTGGCATGCTTTGCAGTAGATCTCAAAAATGCATTTCTCCTGTACGACTGAATCTTTGTACCTTTGGTGAGGTTAAACTTAAGAGTCTCGATGTTTCTTTGAGAAGACTTATCCCTAGTGGGGATATTGACTCTTCAGGTGTGAGGAAAGAACCCTCAGCCTTTCCCACAGAGAAGCTCTCTTCTCTCAGGCGCTGACATGCCCACGGCCTTCTCCAACGGACTGCACCTGGGACTCAGGAGGAAAAGGATTTGCTGGATTGAGTCACTTGTTTTCTAACAGCCCCTCAGTACCATGCAGAGACAATTACTAAATGGTATTTAACAACAGGAATATTAACTCTGCTGCACTCTTGGGGAGAAGGAAAGCAAGAACATTTGTGGTTAAGTGGCCACAGGTCAGCAAATGCTGCTCACTGATTTCTTATCACTTATTGAGCTTAAAACATAAATGATATGGTGTTTTATTTTTTTTTATGTTAGGATTGAGGCTCACAGACAAATTCCATTTGGAAGGGGAGGAACAGAGGCTCAGTTGGGGGTATTTGAGTTCAGCTTATCCTGCTACAGGACCACAAGAAAAGTGTTTATGCCCTGACTGGATACTTTTTATTTTCATTTATTTTATCTGTTATTAGTTCATGTTTATGCTACTTAGTTGTTTTCTGTATAGAGAAGATGAGAGAAATATGAATAAAGGTTAATGAAATGGGTACCTCTAGTTTATCTAGTCTGTACATTCATTGGCCATAACGGAATTTGGAACTAGATTTCAACAGTGGTGCTGAAATGTTGAGGTCCTAAGCCCCACAGAGAGAAAGGATTATTTTAGGATAGGTACTCTGCTCACATCTATGTCAATGAGGCCAGGTCCTGTGAACTCTGTCCCCAAAGCTTCCTGCCCAATTCCCTTCAGCCCAGGGACTTGCTCCCCACCAACTAGCTTCAGAAGTAGAGTGCAGGATCCAAAACCAAAGCCAACCAGTGCCTGGGATGCTCTGGTCCTGGGGATTGGCTCAAGACTGGCATAGTGGGTTTCCAGTGACTGCCCCTCCAGCCTTCCTGCAGGACCCACAGATGGGCTACCACAGGCCCGCCTCCTCTCTCTGCTGGATCTCAGGTCTTGCATCCACATTTCCATGGAGGATGCTGAAGCTAGGAGCAGCTGTCTCTCGCCCGAGGACACAGAGCCAGGGAGCACCAGACTTAATTCATGCTCAGAGCTTTGGCCTGGCTCCACAGGGTTGTCAATTGCTCTAAATACCAAGCAACTCAAGTGTGTCAGTCTCTTCTCCAATTTGCCAGTGTATACAGGGAAACATCCAAGAAACTCCAGCAGTAATTAGGTCACTGTCTGATTTAAAACAGAAACTTCATTTAGACACACAGTTTCATTTAGAGGAAATTCCCTGGGGTTGCTGTGGCTTCAGGCGACCTTGCTGCATGCAGGGCTGCCATGCCCACCTCCAGTCCTAACGATCCACCTCTTAGAAGAACCCTGCCTTCGTTGCCAGAACAAAGCACACTTTCAAATCACCTTCACTCCTAGGGGTCCCATAAGGACCCTGGAGGTGGCGAGGAAGGCAGTGTTGTCATTTCCAGAGTGAGGACACTGAGCTTCAGATGATCCCACTCACAGAGCCTGGTGAGGATGACCCAGTTGGAGAGGAGCACCTCAGTCACCTACCGTCCACTCTGGCCGGAGCACACACTCTCGTCCTCATTAAACGATGCTCCTACGCCCTCCCGGGAAGACCTCTCCCTTGCTGATCCTTAGATCTGCTCAGGAGGAGCCATCCTGTTCTCCCCACCATACCTGCCATGGTGGAACAAACATGGCCAGGACTTCCCTCTGCAGCATCTTTAAAATGCCAGCTTCAGAGTCCCACAGACCAACCCTGTCTTCCTGCCCCCTGTGGCCCAGGAAACAAGTGTCCAAGCTGCCACCTTCTTGGTAGGTGGCATACCCAGGGCTCAGGTCATTTGGGGTTGCGATGATCTCAGCTGAGACTTGCCTGAGCTCTGTGGACCCACCCAGTGTTGAGCTGATAGGTTTGGAAGCATGACAGACTTTCAGATGAAGAACAGCAATCTTCAGAGTTGGAATGAGCCCTCAGCCCGGTGATCCAGGGTAACCATGGTCTCAGTGACTTGCACAAACCTTCATGCACACTGCACTTCCTGCAGGACAGTGACGTCATGTAGAAAAGGATGAAGGGTTTGAGTATCTGTAAGGTTGTATCCCAGGAGCTCCTTTTGCTGAAGCTCCGTTCATTGACCACTACCATGATCTCACTCCATGATGTGCATCCACTCCTCACTACTTGCACACTGCCCTCCCTCCCTGCCTCTGCCTTAGACGCTGCACCTCAGCCCCAAGAACATGAGCGTACAAGCCTGCAAGACTCCCCCTCAGGTTTCAGGTAATGGGATGGCTGCCTTTCTCCATGTGGGTGTTGATTTTTCTCACCCATCAGAGACTTCCTGACCATCTATCTAATCTCCCTTGGCAAAATGCCATTCTCTGTGAGAGCTGTTTTATTTCTTTGGCGTATTCATCACTATGTTAGCTTATCTCGTGTATTTATATGTTTCTTTACACATTTCCTACCTCCTCTAGAGGAAACCCAAGCACATACAAACATCTTTATCTTGTTAACCATTGTGCTTTTTGCCCCTAAGAGAGTGCTTACAGAGGAAAGACACTCCGAATTTGGCAGATGCCAGAATGAACGGCTGTGTGGATGGATGCAAGAACGATGGGTGAGTGGAAGCATGGGTTGATGGAGGGTCGATGCATGGGTGATGTATGGCTGATGGATGGATAGGTCCGTGGAGATGCCATCAGGTATGTACTGCGATAGGTGGACAGATGGGTTGATGGATGATTCATATATAGATGAGTGGATTTACAAATGGGTCAATGAGTGGATTAAGAGTTGACCAATTCTTTGATATCTGTAAAACCTTGATCTTAACAACCATTTTTTTTTCTAAAAGTAAAGTTCTCTGAACACAAAAATGCTGGCTCTTCTAGCCATCACTTTTTTAATACAGAAAACTAAAGCATCCTTCTCTCTTTCATCCTCCCTAGCCAAAAATTTGGAATAAACTGATATACTGCTAGAAACAAAACAAAGACACAAAATAGACAACTCCTTTTTCACTCCTCCAGTCCCACTGATAAATCAATGACCACTGCCTGAACTCTGAATATTATGCTGTGACTTTGGGAATGATATGTGGACCTTAACTTCCCCCAAAAATTGACATAGCCATGAATGACTGGTGCTCAGCTCTCAGAGCTTTCTGCAGACAAGGGTCCCCCAGCCTTCTAATCCCTATTCTCCTGCAAGCTTCACTCAAATTGCTTGATAGAATTCCCCCTTAAAAACTTAATCTAAAATCTTGTTTATTTTCTGCACGTCTATTTTGCCTCAGGCCAGATTGTCTAGCTCTATTAGCAACAAAGTCTTGTACGGGAAATGTATGCTATTGTTTTAAGCTCGAGATTCACCTGTCACCTCTCTTGAGGGGAAGATGACACAGAGCTGGCCACTGAGTTACAGATAGCAGATCAGAGCAAAATGAGAGATCCAAAACTGTGCTTCAGGTCACCTGGAAGATCCAAGGGTCTTTGACAACCTCCAATGGCAACTCCAGAGGGATGGAAAAAGCACAGGGAAACAGGAACAGATAAATCAGAGGGAACATGTGTGCATCCCTATGTAAATACGTGTGTGAGCGCCTAGGCACATACACAGTCATCTACCTCGGGGAAGGAAGCAGCTCTCCGAAACAGGGCTCTCTCACAGAGCAGAGGCAGAGGAGGTAACTGGCCATGCACCCCAGAAAGACCGAACATCAGCACACTGTCCAGTCCCCGAGTCCTCGCTGATCATCTCTGAGGCCAGAGTCCACAGTCTGTGCCTGACTGCAGGCTGCTTAGCCCATGGTCTGCTGCCAGGGAGCCACACGGGTCTTCCGTAGTTTGAGTCTTTGTCTCCTTGATCTCCCCTGGTACTTGTGCTACGGTTACCCTTGTCTTAAAGAAAATATGGAACGCAAGAAAAGAACAAGCCTGTCCTCTGTTCCCTAAGTTACAATGCTGCCCAGGTGGATTCCTGGCTGTGAAGTGACTCCCAGCTCATTATCTTTCCTGACACCATTTCCCCAGGATACCCTCTCCGAAGAGCGTCAGTAGTCCCTTGGAAATTCCACTAGCCCTGCAAGGATAAAGTTTCAACAGTGAATGTGCATGCTGCTTCCTCTTTCCTCAGCGTGGCTCTTAAGAGTCCTGCCATGGCTGGGGGCAGAAGGAGCCTAAGCACAAACTTGAATTGTTTTAATAGTGAAAAAATTGTGTATTTACCATTAGCCAGCTGGACTCAATTTAGATGATCACATTTTTTATGGCAACATCCAAAGCATCGTCATCAGGAGCCAGTGGAATCTACGCCTTCTTCACTCCGTCGGGCCTGATCTGGTACTGACTTTGGCAACTTTGGTTGTCATCTTCCCCTCAAGAGAGGTGACAGGTGAATCTCGAGCTTAAAACAATAGCATACATTTCCCGTACGAGACTTTGATGCTTGCAGGAGAATAGGGATTAGCAGGCTGGGGGACCCTTGTCCAAGGGTGCTCAGGCTGTCTCCAGAGCCGCAGTGTCTTGGGACACTGGAGAGTGGTGACGTGCCTTTCCGCCTGCCTTCTTGGCCTTCAAAGCTTTTGCTTTGGCTTCAGCCTTGGGAGAGGCAGGAGCTTCCTTCTTTGCCTTTGATGCCATCTTGGTGAAAACACTGAACACAGCCTTAATGCCTACTCCTCTCAGTCAAAATGCTCTCTTGCCTTGCAGTTGTACACACAAATGTCTGGAGTAGCTAGAATCTGTTAAATGTGTAACTAGAAAGTAAGCTGCGTACCAACTCGTACTGGTCCCTACCAGGCTTCTTCCTTTCCCTTCATAGCCCTTGCTCAGCCTCTACCGCAGGTCCTCAGCCCAGCCACCCTCAGTAGACGAGGGCTTCTTCTTGCTTCATGTGCTGTCGTGGCTGAGGTTGAAAATGTCACCCCCCAAAAAAAATGCTCATTGAATTGAAGACTGGGTCGGGGAAATGACTGGGTCACGAAGCTTCTAACTTGCTTAGTGGATCAATTCACCGGCAAGATCACAATTCCATGTCGTTATTGGGAGGCGATGGAAAGAAGAGGTGAGTGCTAGATGCGGGCTAGATCATGGTTTGGGGACCCTGGGAACTGTGCTGGTCACCAGCGCCGTCCTTGCTGGCCCTTCCTCTCTGTCCACTTCCGACTGCCATGGGTGAGCTGTTTTCCTCCACCACACTGCCGCTCTCATGGTTCTCCCTCGTCACAGGTCTGAGAGCCATGCAGCTGGATGAGCATGGACCAAGATCTGTGAAGCCACGATCTGAATAAACCTTTCCTTCATTACGTTGCTGTGCCAGATGTTTCATCACAAAGGCAAAAAGCTGACTGACCCCGTGACCAGCAGCGTCCTTGGTTACTTAGTTTGCCTCTGTTTATGGGTGTCGGGGACTGGGTGCTCTGTTGTTTTATTCACTGTCTTCTAAGCACCTGGCAGAATTATTCGCACACAGTAGGTGCCCTGCAAACACATGCTAAACGCTATTTTATGAATGACTACTCCGGGGCAATTCAGAAAATAATCTGCCTCTGATTCAGCGCCCGTGTGTTCGCTGGCAGCAGTTTAATGCATGTGGGAAAAGACACTTCCTCAAGACACTTCCCTGTGATACAAATTATCCTAAATTTCTGACCTGGTTGACCAAGAGGCTTTACTGCCACCTGCTGTAATAGTGTCCTGCTGACTAAGTCTACATTGTCGGTGACGTGACAGGTGTCTCTCAGATGTGCTATCTTGTGCCATGCGTGAATTCCCTAATGGGTCCGGCATGCTGAAGGTATTCCAACCCGTGCACCCTAAGCGACTCCTATGCAGGAGGGCAGGCTGATGTCTCAGGGGGAGTCTCCAGTCTGTGCCTTCACCCGCCCTTCCTTGGGGGCCGGATCACCCAGGTGGGACCCCAGCTCCAGCCCAGGTGAGCTTTCAATGGGCCTTGAAGTCTCCTCATTGACTGCCGAGATGTCACAATCATTTTTTGCTTACTTTTAGAAGCGAAGAAAGTTATCTGGGCCATTTCATTAAATGGTGTTTTAAATGAGCATGGGGCCTCCTATGTATCCAAAAGGGACAAGAGCAATTATGGAAACTCTGGGCTGAAGATGTCACGTTCCTGCTTCACACGGGGAGAAGGCCACAGAAAGATGTTCCATGGAGAGGCCGTGGGGCCAGCTGTTGCTCCTTTTCCCCATCACCTGCCGAGAGCACGCTGTGAGCTGCAGGGGAGCCAAATGAGGGTGACGTCCCGCATCATGCTGTGGGCCAATTGCACCCAAACTCTCATTTCAGATGTGTGCTGAGAGCCCCATGCACCACCGCACAGAAGACTTTAATGCAGTTTCCTATTTCCAGACACAGCCAGGCCTCCGAGTCAGGCCCTGGGTGTCCACTGTCCAGGAATCCGAATTCCAGACCAGCACACTCACCACTAGTGAAAGCACCAGGTTAAATTAGCAAACTGTTTATGTGGGGTGCTACTGCTGACCACTTCTAACATCCTAATGGTGGGATTTCATTACTCACTCAAAATGGAGCTTGGTACAGGCCTGGGAAATTCTTTGAAAACCAGCATGTTAAATAAGGGGGAAACTGAAGCCCCTTTGAGGATGTGTGAGTGTTTCTGACATGCTCTGGAAAGTCCAGGATGTACCCCAAGAATTCCCATAAGGCCCCAAAGTCCCGTGCATGTGTGTGCATGTCCTCCCTCTTCTGTGTCCTACTCTGGCGGTGACAGAACTCTGGTGTCCTGGAAACAGCTGGCTACGGGACTTGGGCTTCGGAGCTGAGGGGAAAATCGGTTTCCTATCCCTGTGGTTTCTAGTCCACTCCCGGGTCTCAGAGCCAGGGAGGAGCTTTGTCCTCCTCAATAAAGGAGCCTGGCCTTACCATTCCTTCATAGCTGTTTCACAGAAGGGTTGTAACCATGATAAACTTCTTTTCCTGAGACCCACAACGATAAACAGTGCATCAGACAGCGGCCAAAGGCTGCCTTGTACAAAGGTGTTCCACACACAGCACAAAATGGTTTATTCTTCCAGTCTTCCTCAGGCCAGCCTGTGTCCTGCTGGCTAAAAAAGGGACACCTGTCAGCATGCATGACACTGAGCACGGGGCCTCATTTCTAGCGCACGGTGCAGCCCGAAGTCTGGAGCGCTTTCCT